ACGGGGAGGCAGCATGCTGGAGTGGATGATGCACTGACTGGGGATTTGGGACCTTTGGGCACTAGCCATAGCTCTGCGGCCTTGAGGCAGCCATGGCCTCCCTCTGTGCCTCAGTTTCCCCCAACACTCATCATCTCTTTGGGCAGTGACTTTCTCTCACTCCGTGTCCACACACCCAGCACAAAGGGTCCTGGTTTAGGACAGGGGATCCAGTCACTACCATAATCTACGCATCTATTTTAGAGTGTGTCTGTCTGTGAGCTCATCTGTCCGTCTGTGAGTCTCTTTGTTCACGAATTCCTCCCAAATGGTAAGAGCGAGGGCCACCAAATTTGGTACTGGACTTCCTCTGACCCACGCTTAAAGCAAGGTCAGGATCTGGTTGTGCCAGGACAATGAGGAGTGTCGGGAATGGGACTGTTTTCCAGAACACGGAAAGGGAGGGGGCTGCTATTTGGAGAGATGTGATGGGGAGAGCTACACTGCAGAGTGGCCACTGGGGGTAGCCGCACCACCTAGAGATGAGAGAGCTGGGGCTTGGACTCACCATCTTGCCTGCCACCAGACTGGGCAAGTAGACCCTGTGCCCCAAACCCTTTGCCTCCTGGCCCTTGACCGCAGCACTGTTGCGGGGGCAGGAGAAAGCCTTGCTGGACAGCGGGAGGGAGGGAGGGAGAAGGCCCCTGCCAGCCAAGGATCTGTGGGGGAGAAAGAAGGCCCATGCCAGCAAGGGGAACTGGGGGGAAGAGAGAAGGAACCTGCCAACAAGGGAGTGGGGAAGAAAAAGGCCCCACCGGCTGTGGGGCTGGGAGAGAAAATCTCAGTAAATGGGACCTCCCTACCCTGAGCCTCTTCTCACCCTCAACCCTCCCTCCTGCATGCCCCCAGCTTCCTGCCCTCCCCCCCCTAGGGCCCTGCCCTGACTCTGCACCCCCCACCCCCCAGCCCCCTGCCTTGAAGGAGCCGGGCATCATCAGGTATGTCTTCTACTCTATTTCATAAAAGCAGAACCTGCTCTAATGCACTGCACTGTACTTTTCATTTCTCAAGTTGATTTGGGGAGGAATAAACATGGTTTCAATCAGCTAATTGACTCAGGGGCTGAGCTATAGATCTAGAGCTGTTCAGAATGGCCTGTCAGGAGGCTGCCTATGGGGATAAAACACAGGCTGTGATCAGCACAAGAGCTGGATTGTGTGATGGGGAGGCTTTTGAGTCTGTTTCGCTCTGGTGAATGTTGCCAGATTGATGGCATCTCTGCAAACCAGGCAGCTGCCTTGCTTGGCTCCTCCTCCTCCCCTCACCCTCCGATCACAGGATCAATCCCCTAGCACGGGGGTCTCAAACTTTGTGACCCCCCCTTAAGTTGCTTGTGACCCCCAGGGGGTCAGGACCCACAGTTTGAGAAATGCGACCCTAAGAGAACCATTCCCCAGCCAGTCTTCCCAGTCTAGGGCCAGATCATAGCCCACACCCCCAGAAGGGAGAAGTCCTTTATCCCAAGCCCCACACTCCCAGGTACTGGATTCCCAAGAGGGGAAAGGCCTTGCGTCCCATTCCCTGCCCCTTGAATCAGCCAGTCCCCCACCCTGCCCTGGATCGGAGTTGGGCCGCCTTCCGTGGGAAAGGTCCCATTCCCCAGCCCCGTGCGTTCTCAATCCCAGCACCCCCGGCCTTTCATTTGCCTTTGCTGGGTTCTACTAGACTGAGCCAGCCGCCCATTTGCATCACATCAGCTGCTCTTTGCATTTGGCAGGAAACATTCTGGGAGCCATCGCCAGCCCGGGCAGCTGCTTCCAAGCCTGCTGATTCTGAGGGTTGCTAATAGTGGGAAATGCTGTAAAAGTGCCCAACGGCCTAAGACTTCACCGTTCTCCCAGTCCTGCCCAGAGCAGCCACTGCAGGGTGGGAGTGGGCCTTGAACGCAGGCCTCTCGGAGCAGAAAGCCCAGCTCCTTAAGCTAAATGGGGCATCTAGGTTCTACCATAATACACCTAATAGCCATACAAATGTACAGCACCTGGTATAGTGGAGTCCTGGTCTGTGACTGGGCCTTCTAGGTTCTACCATAATACACCTAATAGCCATACAAATGTACAGCACCTGGCACAGTGGAGTCCTGGTCTGTGACTGGAGCATCTAGGTTGTACCATAATATACCTAATAGCCATACAAATGTACTGCACTTGGCACAGTGGTTCCTGCTCTGTCCCTGGGGCATCTAGGTTCTACCATAATACACCTAATAGCCATACACATGTACCGCACCAGGCAGAGTGGAGTTCTGATCTGTCACTGGGGCATCTAGGTTCTACCATAATACATCTAAAAGCAATAAAAATGTACCGCACCTGGCACAGTGGAGTCCTGCTCTGTCCCTGGGGCATCTACGTTCTACCATAATACAGCTAATAGCAATGAAAACATATAGCACCGGGTACATTGGAGTCCTGGTCTGTGATTGGGGAGTCTCGGTTTTACCGTAATACACTTAATAGCCAAACAAATGTACTGCACCTAGCACAGTGGAGTCCTGGTCTGTATATGGGGCTTCTGGCCACTGGAGTATTACTACTAATAAATACATTAAATAAAGGACAATCATTATTAGCAAACAAATGACTGTCTTAGCTGCATAAGAAACCGTGTGGGTTGAGACCTGTAGGTCACTCATTCCAGTCCTAGACAGGCAGGTAGTGACCCATAGGTCTCAGCTCACAGCAAGCACAGAATCAGGGCCTAAAGGGGCAGTGGAGCTGGAACACTCTCTCCGTCTCCAGGTCAGCTTGGGGGGCAGTTTGCTCTGGAGACAAGTCAACCGTGTTTCTGTCTCTCTGGGGCCATCCGTCTGATGCCTTCACAGGTGCCACAGGTGACTCGTGGGAGCACTTGGGAGGTGCCCCTGTGCCCCTGCCAACATTTTATTTGCTAAATGGAGAGACCTCTCCTGGCCCCTCCAGGTGCCCTCCCTGTACCCCCACTTCCCGCAGGCACCAGTCACCCACATTTCCACCCGTGCTGATTATAGCTCCACCAAAATCCGAGCACCATTGTGCTGCGCACGGCAGAGACACAGAGTGAGTGACAGCTCCTGTCCCTGAGAGCGCACACTCCAAAGAGACAAAGGCAGGGTTGATCTCCCCATTTTCAAGGTGGGGAAACTGAGGCCCAGAAAGATTGAGGGACGTTTCCCAGATCACAGTAACAAAACCAAGGACTGACCCTCTCCCTGCCGAGTCTCAAGCAAACTGGATCAGTCTTCCACTCCATCTTCCTTTCACTTTAAATTGTTTTTTTTTTAAATTAATCACAGCAAAGTCTAGGCAGCTGGAGACCCGCACAGAGCCCTAGTCACAAGGCTACCCTTCCCCTCAAACGCTATAAGGATACAGATGTGGCTTTCCACCCTAAAAACCCCCCCCCCCCCCCCCCACCAATCTTATTGCATCAGCACATTCATATTCCTAGCATGGGTCTCGCAGCTAATCTTATTTGCCAAAATACTCGCAGCATAATCCAATAATAATACAGAAAAGATCCAGAGTCAACCCCCCCTTCTGTTGCTGGCGAAACACGTGTCCTTTTCTTATCAACCCAGCCCCCCAAACAAAAATCTGTACTGCTCTGGCCACGGTCCTAGCCAAATTCGTACAAAAGCAGCTGGGGGTTAAGGAGCCTTTCCAGAATCAATGGCATCTGATGACGCACTATGTCTGCATCTAGCAACACTGAGTCACTGGGCTGTGTTTAGAAGCCGATCACCTGCCGATTTGTCCCCGGCTCAGCTCCACTGATGGTTAACCTGGAACAGGTCCCATAAGAGGGCCTGGTGTAGGTAAACTAGAGGGCTGCAGAGCTAGTCCCTCCCAGAGGCAGGGTTTCAAAACATGTGGGTCACAGGTTCAAATCTAGCCTAGTGATTTTTTTTTTCCTCACGCAAGTTGTCGGTCTAGTGACAACAGAACTCCCCCTGGTGAGGGTGGTGTTATGCAAATTCAGAGGTGCTCATCTGTGAATAACTAATCCCCAGCATAACCCCTCCAGCTCACATCCCTGAGAATAACAAGCATCTCCCTACCTGGCACAAACAGGTCCTGAGTCTGTGCTCAGATCTGCCTCGGTTGCCATGGCTGATTTACATGAGCACTGACAAGGGGCAAATTTGGCCAGTCTCAGCCCATTTTCTCAGAAGTCAGACAACTCGGTCACTTGTTGGCAGCCTCAGCCGAGACACCGGGGACTGACTGGGCCATGAAGATCCTGGCTCCGAGCTGGCTCTGGCTGAGCAGTGGTGAGCCGTTGTGACGGGGGGCGGGGGAGTGAGTGGCGGACACATGGTGGATAAGGAGGATTCAAATTCCTGGGTGTTTGGCCCTGGGATTAAAAGCTGAATGACACAGCGCAACATGGGGAGAAGAACATCACCGCCTCCTCCTCATTCTCCAGTCAATCTGGGGAGGCAGTGTTGCCTAGTGAATATAGCAGCCACTTAGGACAAGAGAAACTTGCGTTCTAATCCTGCTCTGCCTGTTTGGTGATTGGGGGAAACTGAGGCATAGCAAAATTTCCTCCTCTGTAAAATGGGGCTCTGAGTTCCCCAACTAAGAGCAGTGGGATTTTTAGGCTAGGGTCTGGTCTCCAGAAGTTCTGAGTACCCACTGCTGCTCTTGTGTCATAGCCAGGCCCCAGGGTCTCACCATACTGCGTGCTACACAGCAAGCCACGCACACACACCATCTGCCCTAGCGAGTGCGTAGTCGATACAGGCTGGAGGGGGACTTGAGGCAGAGATTGGAAGATCAGTGATAGAGCTGGGAACCAAACCCATCTTCCATGGCCTAGCCAGTAGGCCACACTACCTCTTGCTAGCTGACTAGGCCCTTTGGCAAGGGGAAATGTTACCCCCACAGCTATCTCAGGCGAGGGGGTCCCTGGGTCCCAAGCCAGGGCAGAAATGGGGAATGGGAAGGGAGTGAGAGTAGGTGGCGGGGAGATCTCACCATAATCCTTGGGCAAGGGTGCTGGGGCGGAGGGGTGGACGATGGGTTTCTTTCTCCGTTCCAGCACAGGGCTCTGGAATTCCAGCGGCTGGCGCGCCCCCTCAGAGGGAAGCTCGGCTGAGTCGTCTTTGGTCATGGCTGGTTGTTACTCCTGGCTGTGCTAGAGGGGAAAGAGAAATGTCCAGTCCTTGGGGCCATCAGGAGAACCCACCAAGCCCTGCCCCCGCCCAAGGATCAGCTCACTGCCCCCCTGGCATCTCCGCGGCACCCTCCGTCCCACGTGCTCACATTCATGTTAAGCCCCATAGCCCCCCTCCCATACTGACCCCACACACTACGAAAACAGTCAGGGGAAACTGAGGCACAGACCGGTGACGGGATTTCCTCACCGCATCACAAGACAAGGCAGAACCAGGAACTGAAATCCAGTGTCAAATTCCAGTCCCCTGCTCTAAACACTAGACCCCACTCCTGTTGCTGCCTTTTCATCAGTTCTCCCCTGGACTCACTCAGTCTGGGGTTCACTGCCCCCCCCTTCCACACAGAGAGGGCCTTGAGTTATCAGCTGGCTGTGTCTCCCAGCAATCCCAACAGACAGACCGCCCCCTCTCTCAGAGCTGGGAATCGAACCCCAAAGTCAAATCTCCCCTGCAGTAACCACTAGACTTCATTCCCCTTTCAGCATTAGGAATAGCACCCAAGAGTCCTGATTCCCAGTCCTTCCTGCTCTAACCACTAGACCCCACTGCCCTCCCAGAGCTGGTGACAGAGCTCTAGCGTCCTGACACTAACCACTAGACCCCACTGCCCTCCCAGAGCTGGTGACAGAGCTCTGGCGTCCTGACACTAACCACTAGACCCCACTGCCCTCCCAGAGCTGGTGACAGAGGCTCTAACTCACTCTCCCCACCCTGCTCACCAGATCACACACTGCTGGCTCCTGCTCTTGCATAGGAAAGCCCCCACCCCCACAGGTGTCTATGGGAAAGATGAGCCAGGCCTGTCCTACGGCCCAGAAGTTCTGCCCCACTACGGATGGGGCTTCCCCTGCCCTTGTGTACAATGGGAAAGGGAAAGCAGAGGACTTGGTCTCAAAAGAGGGGGTGTGGG